ATAGAATACATGTAAATAAAAAGACAGTCACATACTCATACATGCACAAACACACATATATATATAGATAAATAAAGAAATGTATTTACGAATAAGCATTTTACACACACACACACACACACACACATATATATATATATATATATGAAGTGAAACTTGCGGGAGTGCATGATGGGCCCCACAGCCTGGAGCAGCGTCGGCGGGGATGGCAGAGGTGACATCCACCCGTTGTGACTGCCCGAGGCTAAACCGCAAGGGGAAGTCAGGGTGGGGGTTTGGAACGTCCGCTCTTTGCGTCAGGATGATTAGTTGTCTCTGCTGTCAAGGAAACTGGGGATGCTGAGAGTAGGGGTGGCTGCTCTCTTGGAAGTAAGAAGACCTGCCAGCAGCACGATAAGTGTAGGTGTCTACACTTACTACTGGTCAGGCCGCAGCGACGATCACCATATCCAAGGAGTAGCCATAGGCATCTCCAACAGACTCCAGCCCTCGGTAGTAGAGGTTACTCCAGTCGATGAGCATATAATGATAATGAGACTGAAGCTAGCATTTGGCTTCATGTCTTTTATTACTGTGTACGCTCCTACCGATGTTTGTAAACTTGACGTAAAAGAGATGATCTGAGATATCCCCAGCAAGATATTTGTATTGTTCTGGGTGATTTCAATACGGTATCTGGCAGTGATCGAGATGGCTATTAGATGTCTGTCGGTCCCCATGGTTTGGGAGCTGATGCCGGCAGCGAAAATAGCCTCCTTTTCCGGGACCTTGCTAGGTCCCAGAAATTGAGGATTTCTGGCTCTTGGTACCAGTGCCCAGATCCACATCGTTGGACGTGGCGATGCCGGTAAAGCAGCCAAGGAAATTGCTCACATACTCGCTAGCACTCGTAGGAGGGCCCTCCAGAACTGCAGGGTGTATAGGAGTGCCGAGTTCTGTGATAATGACCATAGATCAGTTGTGGCTACCCTCTGGGTCCACCTCAAAACTCCCCAGCAGCTCAATTGAGGATTTCTGGCTCTTGGTACCAGTGCCCAGATCCAAGTCGGACGTGGCGATACGGGTAAAGCAGCCAAGGAAATTGCCCACATACTCGCTAGCACTCGTAGGAGGATCCTCCAGAACTGCAGAGTGTATAGGAGTGCCGAGTTCTGTGGTACTGACCATAGATCGGTTGTGGCTACCCTCCAGGTCCACTTCAAAACTCCCCAGCGGTTCAATGATCACCCTCGGGTGTTTCACTTGGACAGTCTGAGGGAGGGGGAGTCTACCAAGGCAGTTTGCTCAGGCAGTCTCTGGTCATTTCTCAGTGCTTGACAGTCTGACAGACCCTACACTTCTGTAGGACACCTTCAAGCGCGAAACACTTGATGCAGCTCAAGAAATGATAGGTGAACGCCTGAGAGCAAGACAGAATTTCATCTCACAAGAGACACTGGACGCCATGGATGCTTGTCGTGCAGCTTGTCTAACAGGGGATCAGGATTTGCACCGTTCTCAGGTGCGAAAAACTCGGTCACTATTAAGAGGAGAAAAGGGACAGTTTATTAAGAGTGTTGCAGAAGAGGTAGAAGGCCATTTCTTAGTAAATGACCTTCGTCCTGCATACCAAGCCCTGAGAAAGCTGGACTCCAAGCCCTCTTACTAAGTGGCCAGATCGTCTCAGATCCTGTTGTGGTGCGGGAGCGTTGGGCTGAGCATTTTGAGCAGTTATAACAGGTTGACCCACCAACAGTTAACCTGGATGCGAGTAGTGCCGAGATTCTATTGCCAGACCCACCCATCAGTGAGGATCCTCCATCCCTAATTGAATTTAGGGTGGGGGCGATCTCCAAGCTGAGGAGTGGTAAACCAGCAGGTATATGCGGCATCCCAGCTGAACTGTTACAGGCTGATGGTGAACCCATGGTGTGGGGGTTACATGCTGTCCTGGCTGCCCTCTGGCGGTCAAGTACTATCCCCCTGACCTGTTGAGGGGTGTGGTACTTCCCCTCTGAAAGGGGAAGGAGGACCAATGGGACACTGAGATGTATCAGAGACCACCAACTGAGGTATCAGAGACCACCAATTGAGGTATCAGAGACCACCAACTGAGGTATCAGAGACCACCAACTGAGGTATCAGAGGCAAGAGCAATCTGGATTCACTCCTGGTAAGTCCACAATAGACAGTATCCTTGCGCTTCAAGTAATTCAAGTAATAGAGCGCTGTCGTGAGTGGGTGTGGGCTGCTTGCAGTCTACATCGACCTCAAAAAGGCATTCGATACGGCGTATGGGGAATTACTCTGAGAGATCCTGAGATTGAGGAATTCCAACATGGATGATTGGACTAATAGCAAGTCTGTATACTGGTACTAAAAGTGCTGTAAAGTGTGTGTGTGGGAGAGGGAGGGGGGGGGCTGTCAAGCTTCTTTCCTGTTAGTTCAGGAATGAGGCAAGGCTGTGTCCTTGCACCAACACTTTTCAACACTTGCATGGACTGTATACTGGACAGAGTTA